CAATGTTCATGTGTACACTTTTAATTGGTTATAATTTACTGACATAGTTTGCAACCTGAGCAGTGGCAGTTCTTGCATCAGCATCCAGGCTGGAGAGTTAATATTTGTGCAGACGTGGCAGAGACTGGCTGTGGGAATGCACAAGCAAGCTGGCGTCCATGAATGCTGCTACTGATGCTGCTACACCTGCTGTCCCTGTTATTGTCACTGCCAATATGGCTCTGGGGCCTAGTTTCAGCCACCCCTTTGGGCTCTGGGGTGCCACAGACTGGCCTGGATATGCACGCCAATTGTCTAGGTAGCCTTTTTGGTGTGTTTGCAGCCTGCCATGCTCTCTGGCCTGAGCCTGTGGGCGCACTCAGCATATCTCTTCTGTTCATGTGGTTGCTCCATTGACTCATTGGATTTTACTTACAATACACAAGTGCAAAGTTGAAATTTATGACGAATGTCAAGACAGCAATTGCAGAGCGTTAAACCAATACAGGACCCTTGAACATAGTTTACATGTTCTGATGCTAGCTCTGTCTCTATGTATGGATTTTGTTTCTCCATATTATTTTATGTCCCAGTGTACTGAAGTCTTTCAACTTTAATCTGAATCCTCTGAGTCTGCCTAGACCTAAGAGATGAAGTTGAAAGACTACACTATATATTTCAAATTTCTCTGAATAAAGCACTTAAGTACTATTTTTCACTGTTCTGCTGGACATCATTCTAACCTTCCTTTAATAGTTAACTTGGGTGTCATTTGTATACAATGAAGATAAAAATATCATTGATAATGTGAAAACCATGCCTGTTGATTCATAAATAGTGACATCTTCAGGGACTTATAGTTAGTGGGTGTTTGTGACAATTGTCATTTCTGAGATTTTGAAGACCAAATCTTTTGAAATTAATTTTAAAATTTCTAATAATTATAGCATTAAACAGGTTATTTATTTTGTTTATTGACTTGAGAGAAGGAGAGAGAGAGAGAGAGGCACCAATTTTCTATCCCACTTGTTTATACATTTGGTGGTTTACTCTTGTATGTGCCCTGACTGAAAATCAAACCCCCAGCGTTGGTGAATCAAAACGACTCTAACCAACTGAGCCACCTCGTTAGGACACAAGCCATTTCTTTTAAGACAGTGAATACAATTTTTTAGAAATATGAATTAAGTTCTAAATCACAGAGACATGTTTTTGACAGAATCTACTTCTACTTTATGACCCTACTCTTTAGACACAGGTATCTATATATTAGTATTAATTTCTGTAGGAATTGATAAATTTCAGTAAATATTGTATCTCATTGCAATAAGATTTCAAATTTAAATTACATATATAATAAATTAATAAAATACACTAGTGTATTATGTATAATTTAATAACAGATGGAAGCTTGTGTTAGGTTAGAATATTTGGGGAGGATTGGCTACGGACATACATTTTTCAATTAAATTTATCAAAATTGATTAGGTATCATTGTTCAAGTATATGTTCAAGTATATGAAAGTCAAATGAGACATGGTTTCTGTTTTAAAGGAAGATAAAACCCAGGGTGGGTGGGGGCACTTGATTAAAAACAATCCACATTTATTATAAAGAAGTGAGCATTTGCTGAAACCCAGCAAAACTTCACAATCAAGAACCTATAATATAATTTTTCTTTGATTTACTGTTCTACTTACTAATATACTCTAAGTTGACTAAAGCATTTTGTAGGTGTTTCATGAATGCTAACTATGATTATGTACAAAGACTTTTGCACAAGTTATCTCATTAAGAATCAGGACAATTCAATGAAATTTACATCATTGTCTTTTCCATTTTATAGATGTGGAGACTATATCATTGAGAGATTTCAAAAACATCCACAGCAAGTAAGTTGCATAATTGAGAAATGAATTTATTTTTTAATTATATTTTATTGATTATGCTATTACAGTTGTCCTGATTTTACTCCCTTGGCCCCCCTCTACCCAGAACCCCCTACTCCATCAGACCATTCCTCACACCATTGTTCATGTCCATGGGTCATGCATATAAATTCTTTGGATAGTCCGTTCCTATACTGTACTTTATATCCCCATGGCTATTCTCTGTCTACTGACTTGTACATCTTAATCCCTGCACCTCTTCACCCATTCCCTGACAACCCCCTCCCATGAGGCTACCATCAAAACAAACTCCGTATCCATGATTTTCTCTCTCTGTTCTTTTTGTCTGCTTAGTTTGTTTTTTAGATTCAATTGTTGATAGATATGTATTTGTTGCCATTTTGTTGTTCATAGTTTTGATCTTCTTTTTCTTAGATAAGTCCCTTTAACATTTCATATAATAATGGTTTAGTGATGATGAACTCCATCAGTTTTTTTCTTGTCTGTGAAGCTCTTTATCTGCCCTTTAATTCTAAATATCTTTGCTGGGTAGAACAATCTTGGCTGTAGGTCCCTGCTTTTCATAACTTTGAATATTTCCTGCTAATCCCTTCTGGCCTGCAAGGTTTCTTGAAAAGTCAGCTGACAGTCTTATGAGAACTCCCCTGTAGGAAACTAATTTGTTTTCTCTTGCTGCTTTTAATATTCTCTCTTTATCTTTAACCTCTGTTATTTTAATTATGATGTATCTTAAAGTGGGCCTCTCTGCAACCATGTTGTTTGGAATCATCTGTGTTTCCTGGACTTGCATGTCTATTTCCTTCACCAAATTAAGGAAGTTTGTGTTCATTATTTTCCAAATAGATTTTCAATTTCTTGCTTTTTCTCTTGTCCTTTTGGCACTCCTATGATGTGAATGTTGGAACACTTGAAGTTGTACCACAAGCTGCTTATACTATCCTCATTTTTTGGACTCTTTTTTCTTCTTGTTGTTCTAATTGGTTGTTTTTTGCTTCCTTACCTTCCAAATCATTGATTTGATAGCTTCATCCACTCTACTGTTATTTCCCTGTGCACTGTTCTTTATTTAAATTAGTATATATTTCACTTCTGACTGGATCTGTTTTATGCTGTTGAGGTCTTCACTAAGTTCCTTGAGCATCCTTATAACCAGTGTTTTGAACTCTGCATCTGATAGATTGCTTATCTCCATGTCCTATAAGAACAAAGATAAGGAACTTTTGATCAAGATGGTGGATTAGGTAAACAGGCTTGCTTCCTTGAACAACCACCTCAAAATTAAAACTAAAGTATAGAGCAACCATCACTCAGAACCATTAGAAACTGAGTTGACTCGGACGAAACCAAAGTGGGGAAGGACTGGGGGAGGGAGAGAGGGGAGGGGGCAGGGGAAAGTGGTGGGGGGAAGGCAGAGACAAATGTATTTGGGAAAATAAATTAATTAATTAAAATTTAAAAAGAAAAGGAACTGAGTTGAATGAGAGACTGACAACTACAGAAACTAAATACTACATCTACAACTAAATAAATACTACTACAACTAAATAAACCACATCCCTCCAGACTGGTAGGAGGAGTGGAGACGCAGAATGGGTTGATCCCACATACATGTGTGATGGATAAAAATTTGGGAACAATTTCTCAGGAGCAAGGAGTTGCAGCCCCATACCAGACACCCAGCCCAGGGGTCCAGTGACAGGAACTTAAGTTCCCATAACTTCTGGCTGCAAAAATCTGAAGAAATTGAGTCAGTGGAAGAAAATTCTGGAGTTCCAAGCAGTTCCCCTCAAAGAAATCACATACGGATTCATCTACTCAGACTCACTCCCTCTAGCGCAGCACTGGGTTAGTAGCTTAAAAGGCACCAGTGGTGTACAGGGAGGAACTGAAGTACCTGGCATCAAGTGGGGAGCTGGGAGACAACTTTCTGTCAGACAGAAAAGTGGCAGGGGCCGTTGTCCCATTGCTGAGCCTTTCCCCCACAGAGTCACAGAGCCAGCAGGCAGGAACCATATCTGAAACTCCATCAATCTGGCTCATACTGCCTTGCCCTGGAGATACCCTGAGACTCCGTCCACCCAAATTATGGGCCCACCAAAACTGTTTACCGTCACTTTTCCATATGAATGGCTAGTCTTGGCTCATGCTTCACAACTTCCTATACCTTATTAAACAAGCAACAGCTGGTTTCAGTAAGCCGCCAGCCCCCGTACATCCTGCTAAGTGACCCAGGGCCAGCACTAGCAGCAGCCAGCCTAGATTCACTGTTTGTCTTTGCCTGGGAACCTCCAAGCCCAGGACCAGTAGCTTTATAGCTCATGCAGGGTGGCCTTGGGCAGAACTCAGGTGGAGGGTGAACTTGGCCCACAACCTGGGAAACCCCAGAGCCTGTGCACCCAGTGGACAGCTGCAGATCACATCAGAGCACCACCACCCTGCCCCTGCACATCTGATCCTCCATGGATGGTGGAGGTTGGTAGTCAGTGATCACAGCCAGTCTTGGCAGCTGACTGGTCTGGGTAAATGCCTCCCGTTGACCTGCCAACAGCAATCAAGGCTCAACTACAAGAGGAGAGTGCACTAAGCCCACATGAAGGACACACCTCGAATACCCAGCTTGAGTGAGAGAGGAGGCTGTGTCCCTGGACCCTGCAGAACACCTGCTACATTATACCATGCTACCACCAAATGGAGTCAAAGCAGTTCAACCTAAAAAATAGAAACAAACACAAGGATGTTGCCAAAATGAGGATACCAAAAAACACAGCCCAAATGAAAAAACAGATCAAAACTCCAGAAAAAGGAAAATGAAGTTAAAACCAATTTTACGACAAAGCTCCATTCACCATTCTGGGTTGTTCTTACAGTGTTTTCTTTGGCATATCACACTCTGAAGCTTCATTGTAGAACAGGTTTTCCCAGTTGTGCATGACAGTATTTTTCTAGGGAAGCATTCTAGGAAAAGAGGGTGAGAGCAACAAATAGGAGAATGGGAGGGGATTTGTGATGAAATGTATTTAGCTGAATTCTCCTTCTGCCATTGGAAATTCATAAAATATATTAGCATGTTTAATGACCTAATACACCTTACAATATAGATATAAACCAGTTGTGTTTGTTCACTTAGCACATATACCAAAAAATAGCAATGATACAGAATATCATAGTCCTTGTATAAGGATGATACCTATAAATTTGAATTACCCCATTTTTCTGTTTGCCTTAGCTATTTTAAGATATGTTGAAAATATATACATTTAATAAATTTTAACTGCAATTGTACTTCTCAAATTTATTTGATTGTGTATTTTTTTATTTTAAATTTATTTATTTTTTAAACATTTTTTAAAAATTTATAAATGTTTATTCTATTACAGTTGTCTCAATTTTTACCCCTTTACCTCCTCACTCCCACAGTCAATTCCCACACTGTTTTCCATGTCCATGGGTCATTCATACATGTTCTTTGTCTAGTCCCTACCCTTTCCTTCCACCATTGTCCTCTTTTCCCAACTCCTCTGGTCATTTTCAGTCTGTTCCATGTTTCCATGCCTGTGGTTTATTTTGTTAGTTAGTTTAGTTTGCTGAATAGAATCCACTTATAGATGAGATCATATGGTATTTGTCTTTCATCAACTGGCTTATTTCACTTAGCTTAATATTCTCCAGTTCCATCCATGTTGTCGCAAAAGGTAGGAGGTCCATCTCTCTCTCTCTCTTTCTTTTACTTGCTTTCTTAAATGCAGATTAATTTTATCTATTTTTTAAATTTCAAAGTTAATTATAAAATACTAAAAAATTTATAACTATTATAAAGTCTCAGGAATTAAACCAACATGACACCAGCACAGAATCAAGTAGATCAATGAAATACAATGAGCATTCTAGAGACAAATGTATATATCTGTCTAGCAATGTACTAGCTGATATTTCAAATCAATGGGTAAAATAACACTTATTCAAAAAATATGGTGCATGGACCACTATTACTTGAAATAAAACAAATATAGAGCCCTATTTCACACATTATACAAGAAATATTCAGGTGAGTTAAAAATCAATATGTAGAATCTAAGGAGTTTTAGAAGAAAATAGAACTAATATTTTTCATGACCTGAGGTAAAATATTCGAACTCAGAAGCTATAATGTAAATATGGACAATATGACTATATTAAACATTAACTATATAGTAATATACATATAAAAAAGTTATAGGACAAGGAATAGAATAGAAAAGTATTCACAGCACATCTAAAACATGGTTAACAGGTTTTTTTTTGTTTTTGTTTTTGTGGTTTTTTTTAGGGAAAAAAATCTACAAATCTTTAATCAGTAAATGGATAAAGAATACCAAAATGTCATTTAAACATTTTTAAAAAAAAATACTAGAAATAGGTAAGAAATATACAAAAATGACAAATTTTTGTACAAAAAAGAGACAAATGTATTTAAAAAGTAAATAAATTAATTAAAAGACGTTTTAACATAAAAAAAAGAGAAATATACAAAAATGGGTTCATTTTCAAAAAATAGTAAAGGAACAATTGAAATAACAACATTGTCACAATCAGATTAATGAATATCAAAAATATTGGTAAGATCAAGTATTGGCAACTGTGAAACAAACTAGGTATTCATAGAAACTTTTTCTCCATCTTAAAGCAGTCCCTTTAGCATATTTTGCAGTGCTGGTTTGGTAGAGGTGTATTCTTTTAACCTTCTTTTGTCTGGGAAACTCCTTATTTAGCCTTCCATTTTAATTGAGAGCCTTGCTGGGTAGAGCAGTCTTGGCTGCAGATCTTTGCTTTTCAATACTTGGAATATTTCTTGCCACGCACTTCTGGCTTGCAGTGTTTCTGTTGAGAAATCAGATGCTAAGCATGTCGGGTCTCCCTTATATGCTACTACCTCTATCTCTTGCTTGCTTTAGGATTATCTCTTTGTTTTTGATATTTGCCATTTTAATGATGATGTGTCTTGGAGTGAACCTCATTGGGTTCCTCTTGAATGGGACCCTCTGTGCTTCCTGGACTTGTGTGACTTTTTCTTCCTTCCAATTAGGGAAATTTTCCATCATTACTTTTTCAAACAGGTTCTGTATCCTTTCCTCCTCCTCTTCTCCTTCTGGTATCCTATTATAAGGATATTATTACGTTTCAGGTTGTCCTGAATTTCCCTCAATGCCTCTTCATTCTTTTTGAGTCTTTTTTCATTTTCTTGCTCTTTCTGGGAGCTTTTTTCTACATTGTCCTCCAGCTTGCTGAGTTGGTCCTCAGCTTCATCTAATCTGCTTTTGATTCCTTCTACTGTGTTCTTCAATTCATAAACGGTATTTTTCATTTTCTCTTATTAATTTCTATGTCCTTTTTCATGCTGATATAGTTTTCAGTAAATTACTCATAGTTTCCCTGTAGCTTTTTGTAATTTTCTCTAAGCTCACTGAGCTCATTGAGCTTCCTTAGAACCATTGTTTGGAACTCAATATCTGAAAATTTACTTGCCTCTATTTCATTTATTTCTCTTTCTGGGAATCTTCCTTTCCCTTTGAGTGGGGTGAATTTCTTTTTCTTCCTATCATTTGTGAGACTCTTCGCTTTTGCCTCTGCTTCTTAAGTTGATCTGTCTTGATTTCCTGACTTCGTGGTGTGAACTTCTGTGTTTGGAGACCACTGTTTTTACTTTCTGGATCTGCCTCTGATGATGTCAGATGTCCCTGTCTCACCTTAGGCAGTTTGTTCAAGACTTCCAGTAATCTACTGTTTGTGGCTGTCTCCTTCAGCTGTTAATCTCTTCACTCTGCACTCAGCAGCCCTCCTTAGACAGCTAGGGGCAGGGCGGAGTCCCTCCTGGGGATGGGGTTATTGGGTCCTCTCACGCTGCTGCTGTAAGGGGGAAGAGTCCACACTGGGATCCCGCTGGCTACTCTCTCCATTCTCTCCCCAAAGCCTCCATCCCCAGTTTCTCCTCAAGTGTTACTAGACCTCTCTGTGCCCCCCTTAACCAGGGATCTACTGTCTGTGGCTGCCACTTTGCATTGGGCAGGTTGCTTAGACAGCACAGGGTAGGGTTGAATCCCACCTGGGGGCGGGGTTATTGGGTCCTTTGACGCTTGTGCCACTGGGAGGGAATGATCCCTGACTGACCAGGATGGATGCTGCCACATGGGGGATGAGCCAGCACCAAGATCCCACCAGCTATTCTCTCAGTTCTCTCCCCAAAGCCTCCTTCCCCAGTCTCTCTTCAGGTGTTAGCCCACTCTACCCCTGCCTTTGCCAGAGACCAGGGTAGAGGCTGCAAATAAAAATTTATGCATTGGCGTTTAAACAGTTCTTTGTGTCTCCAGCTTCCCGTCTCTGGCAGAAGGCAACTCTGCCACTTTTCGCAGCTGGCTGTTTTCTGTGTACTTTTTGGGCTCTGGTGCTATAGGTTGGAGATCCCTGCTTTTGGTTTCCACCCCACTCTTCTCAGGGGGATCCAACTGTCCATTTCAATATCCTTCTGGTGCTGCTGCCAGTGGGTGCCCCGCCCACCTTGTCAGGTCTGTACCTGACTCCTTACCAGTTAGATTGCGCTAAAGCTGATTATTCTGTCTGTCAGAGGTTACAAGGCTCCTCTCTTGCTATTGATCAGTTGTTTGTTCCAGGTGATTTCTTCCCAATTTACTTGTAATTCCAGGATGGTCCTGGAAGAAGGTGAGTGTGACTTCCACTCACTCCTCCGTCATCTTGATTCTCTCTGATTATGTATTCTTTATTTCCCTATTACAAATTACCGTATTGTGAAAATATTGTTTCATCAAACTAATTTTGGGGAAAATCATGTAGAGATAGAGTTTCAGAGAGAACGTTTATAAGGTCTATCTGAAAAAATCCAGCTGTTGTTGAAATAACAAGAGCAGTTTGCACAGCATCAGTATAAGCTGGTAGCCAAGACGAGTGGACTGGAATGCTCATGGGTGAACAAGGATGACCTCACTGTACTAGTCAGTGGGGGCAGTAGATGTTGTTGAGAGAGCATGTGTACTGTGTAGTCATCACATTCAAAATAACTGAGTCAGAATACAGCAATGGATCTCCATCAAATTTTGTGTTAAGCTTGGACATTCCTGCACAGACACTATTCAGATAATTCAGAAGGCCACAGCTATGGGCAACTGGTGACTTGCAGCTTCATCATGACAGTGTGCCTGCTCATGCATCATGCCTCATGCAGAGCTTTTTGGTGAAACATAAAGTACCCAGGTGACTCAGTGCCCCTTCATCCCAGATTTGGTGCCCTGCAACTTCTGGCTTTTCCCAAAACTAAAATCACCTTTGAAAAGGAAGAGATTTCAGACAGTCAAGGAGATTCAGGAAAATACAACAGGGTAGCTAATGGCTATTGGGAGAACTGTGTGAGGTTCCAAAGTACCTACGTTGAAGGGGACTGAGATGTCATTGTCCTGTGTACAATGTTCTTTGTATCTTGTATCTTCTCCAATGCATGTTTCTATTTTTTATACTACATGTATGGATATTTTCTGGACTCTGTGTGTGTGTGTGTGTGTGTGTGAGTGTGTGTGAGCGTGTGTGTGTATGTGTATAGCTATTGAGAAACATTGAGCACAATATTATGGATAAGAGAGAGAATATATAAATAAGTGTGTCATAGGTGGAGCCCAGTTTGTTTGTTTCATTGTTAGTATTACTATGGAGGAAAATGTCTTGTAACTTACTAACTAATAATAAAAATTTGTATTTATATAAAAGAATACTCATGCAAATTTGGAAGGATATTATTTTTACTGAAGATTCCTTTTGTTAACTGACCTATTAAATTGTTGGAGTAATGATATAAATAGTAAAATGTGTGGTAAATGTTGTGCTGTGTATTGGAGATTTGACCAAAAGAAACAAGAAAGAGTTCAAATTTATGAAAGAAAGAAAGAAAGAAAGAAAGAAAGAAAGAAAGAAAGAAGGAAAGAAAGGAGTTCAAATCTTAAAGGTCTGCAATCTAAGGAAAGTACCAATCACAATTAAAACAGGGGAAAAATCCCCAGAAGTAAAAATAAAAGAAAAAAGTAAGCTTGATACTATAAAATATATACAAAATAGTAAAAGAACATTAATTGTTTTATTTTACAAGTTTATTTTGTGTAAGCTTTTTAAAAAACAGTTTTTAAACTCAAAATTTTATCTAAATGTAGGCAAAATAAGTATTTTTTAATTGAATTTA